CCTGTGTGTCAACCTCTGTGCTTCGTGGCAAGGTAGACTAGCAAACATGCCCAACCTTTACTCACATTCGAGAAAAACACCCAACAAAGATTGCTTGCTCCAAAATCGAAGAGGCATCGCCCTCCGAATCTCGAGAGCCAGACTCCTAACATGATTACTTTCTCAAAAATCGAAGAGAGGGTAAAGGAACAGTACCACTGCTGGATAATTGGAAAGTCCCTGTGTGTCAACCTCTGTGCTTCGTGGCAAGGTAGACTAGCAAACATGCCCAACCTTTACTCACATTCGAGAAAACACTCCAACAAGATTGCTTGCTCCAAAATCGAAGAGGCACCGCCCTTCGAATCTCGAGAGCCAAACTCCCAACATGATTACTTTCTCAAAAATCGAAGACACCCGCTCTCCGAATCTCGAGAGCCAGACCCCAGCAGGATTGCTTTCTCAAAAATCGAAGAGGGCATCGTTCTCCGAATCTCGAGAGCCAGATCCCCGACAGGATTGCTTGTTCGAAAACCGAAGAGGCACCACATTCCCAACTTCAAGAGCCGGATCTCATTGGATAAAGCTTTGTCTGTAATCTTCACACGCAACATCAGCTTTCCAGATACCACAGACCACTTTTCAAAGTGCTCTGACAGAGTTAAAACTTGTGAAGCTGGCAGCTCCAACTACCGTGCTATGACCAAGCAGGGTAAAGGAATAGCATTATTACTTGATGTTAGGGAGACTCCTATATATGTCGACCTCATCCCCAACGAACAGGCAGACCTGCAAAATGCTCAACCCTTCCTCTTATCTGAGAGGGCACTCCCAACGAAGCCTTTCGAAATATTCAGCTTTCTTTCCCCCCGATAATACCTCTGTAAACAAGCTATACTAGAGCAAGAATATCTCATATCATCAGGGTTAAAACCAAGAGTATCCCATATCATGCTTTTTCCCTGTCTTTTCCTTTGACCTTGTTCTTACCTGCAAGACAAGGAGAAAGAGAGCAATCAGTCAACACTTGGAATCAAGCTTCCAGCCAGGAACTGACTGCCTGGAACCCCTTACTTGATTACTTACCTGGCATTGCTCTCGAGTACTCATCTTCAACATCTTATGCTTCCAGGGAAGATACCGCATCTGCCTGAGGAACAGATAGGGCAAGTGAGAAGGATACAAGGAAGCATGTGGAGACAAGCGTAACAGCACACGTGCCGATACATCCACTACTCTGTCAAAAGCAAAAGTATCCCATATCAGCAGGGTCGAACGTACTCTAGATTTGACGGACTTGTTTTTGACCCTCAAATTCTTCAGTCGGCCTTATACTCTGGAGGAAACCAGAAAACCCTCCAGCCCAGTTCAAGAATAAGCCTGTGGAAAGTTACTTCTTCAAAAGCAAAAGTATCCCATATCATCTCTTCTCATTTTTCTTCTCTTTATCCTTCATGCTGCCTGCAAGATAGGGAGAATGTGAACAATCAGTCGGAGCTCTGATTGCTTACCTTGTCTGTTACCTCTTTCAGCAGATCCCTAGCTCGGCGACTTGGGGGACTCCTACTACATGGTTTGTATCGCGCTTGACCAAGCCTGAAACTACAAGTAAGCTTCAAGTGACATTGATACATTACCTTGTGCATCTCCACCAGTTACAGATACCACCCTGGATGGAGGAAGAGTACTTCCAGAGAAGATGCCACATCTACCTATGAGACAGATAAGGAAAGTCAAGACGATACCACACTCCGGTACTTAGAAGTTTCGTGGTTACGAGATCATTCTCCCACAATATTTCCTAATGTCATTTGTACTAAATCATTCACTTGTACTCCCCAAAGGAGAGCTTGAACCTATGTACTTGTGTAAACCCTTCACAATTAATGAGAACTCCTCCATTCCGTGGACGTAGCCAATCTGGGTGAACCACGTACATCTTATGTTTTCTTTCCTATCTCTATCCATTTATATACTTATCCACACTAATGACCGGAGCAATCTAGCGAAGATCACAAAAAGTGACCGTTTTCGCTACCTAGGATCTATCTTGCAAGAGAACGGAGAATTAGATGGAGATCTCAATCATAGAATGCTGGATGGATGAAGTGTAAGAGTGTATCCGGCGTGTTGGGTGACCGTCGTAGGCCACTGAAGCTCAAGGAAAAATTTTATAGGACGGCAATAAGGCCAGCGATGTTGTATGGCACAGAATGTTGGGCGGTGAAGCATCAACACGTACACAAAATGGTTGTAGCGGAGATGAGGATGCTTCGTGGGATGTATGGGCACACGAGAAAGGATAAGATTGGGAATGAGGATATCCGAGGTAAATGAGGAGTAGCCAAAATTGAAGGAAATATGAGAGAAAATCGGTTCCGGTGGTTTGGACATGTGCAAAGAAGGCCTACTGACGCTCCGGTTCGAAAATGTGACTACGGGACAGAGGTTCAGGGCCGAAGGGGTAGAGGAAGACCTATTTGGAAGAGACCTTAAGAAAAGACTTGAGTACTTGGATCTAACGGAGGACATGACACAAAACCGAGTGCAATGGCGTTCTAGGATTCATATAGCCGACCCCACTTAGTGGGAAAAGGCTTTGTTGTTGTTGTTTTTGTTGTACAAATTTACAAATATCCGAACTATCATTCCTATGGTTCTGAGACTCAAAGGATATCAAGAAATGCTTCTCAGGCTTCTGCAAGAAATGCTGCCATTGATGAGCGTAAGGCACAGGATACAAAATCCACAACTGATGACAAGATAACTGAAAGCATTACTTTAGTTGAAGGAACGACCGATAGTTCTATGGTGAGTAATTTTGATTATATTGCTTCATAAAGAAGAGAAGTTGTAGACAAGCTGACTCATTATGGTTCTAACATGGATTGTCTCGTGTTGCCGGTACCGGAGACGGATTCAAAGCCCTTACCATCTTCAAGGGATGTAAAAGATGTTGGCTTACACCCAATGCCCATTGATGACGATAACCCTTCAAGGTGGCCTTCAGAATTCAACAAGCTGCAAAGAGAGGTAATTGAACTTTGGGATGCCAGGAACGTGTCATTGGTTCACAGGACTTACTTCTTCCTCCTATTTAAAGGTGACCCAAGTGATTCTATTTACATGGAGGTTGAGGTCAGGAGATTGTCCTTCGTCAAATACACATTTTCACGTGGAGATCAGACTTTGGAAGATGGCCAATCTCTTAACACCCGCTTCAAGGTACGTTCATTATCACCGATCTAGAATAGAAGGTTGCAGATACTGGTGATATGTTTTTACTTTGTTATATATTGCCTGCATTGATCGACTTAAAAGATGTTTTATTCTGTATATAGCATGAAGGCTTTGACTAGTGAGAGACACATGCTGGCAAGCAAATGCGAAGGCGACTTTCTGAGGATGAAAGAAATAACCTCTACCAAAAGTGGGGTATCAGTCTACACTCAAAGCATAGGCGGTTGCAATCGGCAAACCTCCTGTGGAGTAACACCCAAAACCTGGACCATATCATGGACAGTGCCACCATTGTTGCAAAGTTGGTAGGTTCAGTAGAGCCCGAGCAAGCATTCAAGGAGATGTTTGGTCTCAGATTTGCACCTCGAGACACTGTCACCAAGCGGAAATCTCACTTTTGGTTAGAAAGTTTCAAGTCTATTGTGTAAGCTTGCGAGATTGATCACCCAGTACAGAAGTTTCATCGAGTCCATTTCCATTCGCGTATAGGTTATGATTCCGTGACAAGTATCCCATTATCACTTCTCTCTTCTGATTGTATATTTTTTCTTTTTTGATCTGCTTTCTGATTGTAATTTTTTTGTTTTTATGAGTTAAAGTTCTGATTGTAATTGATTGTAAATTTGATCAGGCTAGAAATGGTGCGTAAGGCTTCCCTAGTTTCTTGTAAAGTAAAATTCCTTACCGATACTCGAAAGAAAAGAACACTAAGCTACATTTTTTACCTTTCTCAGATACTACTAATTCTTAATTTCTCATCTCTTTCTATCCCTCATCTCATTCGTACAACAAAAGAAAAGAAACAACCTGGCTTTTTATGTACGTTTTCTCCAATACTAGATTCAATACTGCAGGATGTGAGTAGTTAGTCGATTGGCACGGTATGATTGATCAACCGACCACTCACATCCTACAAAATTCCGCAAGGTTTGTCATGCATTCTAGTCTTATGTATAACTCTAGTCTAATTCAAAGATAATCAAAATAAAGTTGAGCTCTACACAAGTTTTTTTTTTTCTTTCATTCTTTTGGCATTGGAATAACATCAAGTTGATTTATTTCTATAACAAAACGCAAACTAGCTATCGAGACAAAGGCTTATAATTTCTTGGAATTGTGAATATTATTCATAGAAACCATTATACATATACCATACAAAAATAAAAGTACAAAAAATCAGTAAATAACTAGAACTAAAATTCACACCAGGTTATGTTCTTTTTTGTTTGTAATTTATATATTCATGTTCGCTTTTGAACCACATTATTACTAATTCATTGTGAGGTTAGTCCATTCTCCTACCTTTTAGTGTAGATAATATCGTTTTTCAAAAAAAATATTTATATATTCATGTTAGGTTAAAGGGTACTATCACAGTCAAACAAAAAATTATACATTCACATTAGCTTAAAGGGTACTATCACAGTCTTTAAAAAAAATTCTATTTCGAGTGCCTTATGAGGTGACATTTTTCTGAGTACCTTAGACCATCTCCAACCTAAGGTCATCATTAACCGAGGGCTGGCAAGATGGCTCGTTTTAGTCCTTTGGTCGTCCAAGATATTAATATTTTAATGAACAATACATTGCCATATTTGCCTCCGTCTCCAACTGAGGGCCAAACATAATTTATTATTTAAAAACTACCACTTAAATTCAAATCCAATGGCTAAGTGATTCAGCGCATGACGTCAGCTAGCCGTTGGATTTGAATTCTTTTTTGCTATAAATAAGGTGGATATTGGGCTATAATTCACACAACTTTGAATTCAATCTATTTCAATTCAATCTCTTTCAATTCAAGTTTGCAATGAATTCCAACTTTGGATCTCTTCGTATTCCAACTGGGGGTCCTCATCCAATTCCAAATTGGAAGCAAAATGGGCTCAAATGAGACGAGAAGATGAGGAGTCTGATGAAGAAGTTCAAGTAAGGCGCAACAAACAAAACAGAGCAACAACCATGGTATGTCAGCCAACTGAGGAACAACCTCAATGGGGTGGCTCTCTTGTTGGTCGCTCTTACAAACTACGAAAACAGAGCGATGTCTTATGCCAATCTGATGAACAACTACTTCAACCCCAACTCGGTGTAACACAAAAAGGATTTCAGACGTCGCTTCTGGATGAGGCGTCATGTTTTCGAGTGTTTACTTCGTGATGTCTAGTAGGTCAATCCATACTTTCGACAGAAACGGGACAGAGCAGGCTGTCCTGGTTTTTCATCTCATCAGAAGGTTACTGTTGCACCCCGAATGATGACCTATGGCTCCCTAGCTAATTCGATGGATGAAACCCATGGTATGTCTGAGTTTACATGCCTTCATACTCTTGAACAATTATATGACACAATTGTTCAGGTTTACAAAGAAGAGTACCTTCGCAAGCCAAATCAAGAAGATCTGAATCGACTAATTCGCAAAGCTGAAGACCGTGGGTGTCCGGGCATGATAGGGTCATTAGACTGCATGCATTGGGATTGGAAGAATTGTCTCACTGGATGGCAAGGAGGCTTTAGTGGAAGGTCAAGAAAGCCAACTGTTGTGTTGGTACGACTAATATCACATTGTTTTTTCGTTGGCTAAGAAATAGTTGCTTGCTTAATAATTATGTTAAATTACCTCAAGAGTCTAATATGCTGTGGTTTTATCAGGTCATTGAAAGTTCAGCGCGTGAGTTTCTTGGCTATGACAAATCAAGCTCCCTTACTGCTGTTGTGGTAAGTACTAAAAGTTTTTAAAGAAAAAAATGAATAAATAATCACGACTAAAGGAATAAAGGATAACAACAGAATGATATAATTCTTTACTGTACAGAACTTTGTTGATCTTGCTGGAAGTGAACGTGCGTCCCAGACGTTATCAGCTGGAGCAAGGTTGAAAGAGGGTTGCCACATAAATCGCAGTTTACTAACTCTAGGCACTGTTATCCGTAAGCTCAGGTCAGCTTGAGTAGCTTGTCTTTCATTTTCTCAGTTATGGTCTTTGCAAAAATTTATTCTACTTTGTGCAATTGAAATGTCGAGTCTTATTATTCCCATTGATTCTTTGTATTAGTTCATGTAAAATGAAGTTCGCATAATAAGAATTTTTACGAAATTGTTCAATACTGTGGTTTCACGCAGCAAGGGAAGAAGTGGGCATGTTCCTTACAGAGATTCAAAGCTAACCCGCATACTGCAGTCCTCGTTGGGAGGAAATGCTAGAACTGCCATCATCTGTACCATGAGTCCTGCACATAGCCATGTTGAGCAATCAAGAAATACCCTCTTATTTGCGAGCTGTGCTAAAGAAGTGACAAACAAGCGCACAAGTTAACGTGGTCATGTCGGATAAAGCATTGGTGAAGCATTTGCAAAAAGAATTGACTAGACTAGAGAATGAGTTGAGAGGTTCAGGACACAAAATTGTTTCAGCTGATTCTTCAACATTACTGAGAGAAAAGGACCTTCAAATTGAAAAAGGTAACGAATAGGCTCCTATTATTATCTGTCAGATCCTCAAAAATGCATTTGGTACCTATCCCGAACATATCTAAAACTGGGCAAAGAAACACATAACAAAGGCCAGTATCTATGCTGACCTCTTAAAAGATCACAGATTCACGAAAAAATTTAAAAGCCAGGTTATTCCAACTATGGAAAGCCGAGGTGAATTATACTCTTTGATATGCAGTTACCTACAAATATTTTCTTTCTGGTCTTTGCACAATTTGATGAAGCATGTTTCTTCGATGCTAGTTACTTGTAGTCATGGGTCATGATTCTCGAGTCCTCTCATGCAGAAATCTCTGAACATCTTCACTTGTGCTCACCTTGTTAGAAACCATGGCAATTTGATTGTCCTTTGATCCGTGGTTCTCATATGTATGAGGCATAGTACAGTTTTTCCTATTCATGATTCAGGCTCCTTCTTCTTGTCTAAAACTTTTGGTTTTATTTATTCATTATGCAGCTCAAAAAAGAGGTATCGGAGCTAACTCAGCAACGAGACCTTGCTCAATCTCAGGTTAAGGATCTGGTGCGAGTGCTTGGAGATGATAAACCATCAGAAGTATGTGTACTAAAATAAACTGAAGAATTTTATTTCACTACAATTTTCTCCGTCTGTGCTAAGTTGAATTTCTTTTCATATAATTGTAGGAGGATCTGGAACGTTATTACCCCAAATTGCGTGGGCAAGTTTCATGGGACTTTGAAATGAAAATGGCAGGTGCGCCTGTTCGGGCCGTCTCTCGTGGCCGAGCCAACAGTGTGAGATCTTTTGGCACCTCTCAGTATTCTGATGGAGACAGTAGGACTAGTTCAGAGGAGACTCTGTTCCAACTTCCTGACTTGGAAGAGAATTTCATGCACACTGATTCCTCCCGGCAGTTATCCGATGGCATTCCTAATTTTGTTGACGGTAATAATCTGCATCAAGAGGAAAGCAAAGAACAGTTTGATGGAAATTCAGAGGATTTCTGCAAGGAAGTTCGCTGCATTGAAATGGAAGAGTCTGGCACAAACAGATATATAGTGTCAAATATATCAGATTCAAGTGCTAGTAGATACCAAAACTCAAATATGTCGTCTCCTTTCGCAAACACAGCTACCTCAGGACTGACCACAGTTGAAAATGGAGATGGCACAAATCAGGAATTGGAGTCACCCCTACCTAAACAAAAAGGTTTTGTAGTTCCTTCTTCTGAAAGGACACCTCAATGGCTGCCCGAGAAAGAAATGTTTTGCCCCTCTGTTGTGATGTTGAGGAGGAGTAGAAGCTGCAAAGCAAGGCTTATGAATAATTCGTCTCCATGGTGGCTTGAGTTGGTAGAGAAGAATGAGAGCACACCTGCTATTGAGTTTGAGAAAAAATTTATAGGAAGGCCCGAGGGTTTCCAAAAGAAACTTCCTTCTCTGAACTATGGTGCTGAGACTGAAAGGCTATCAAGAAATGCTTTTCAGGCTTCTGCAAGAAGTGCTGCTATTGATGAGCGTAAAGCACAGGATACAAAATCCACAACTGATGACAAGGTAACTGAAAGCAGTACTTTAGTTGAAGGAGCAGAGGAAACGACCGATACACAATGCAATACTCAATTTGCTGATTCTGTGGTGAGTGATTTTGATTATATTGCATCACAAAAAAAAGAGAAGTTGTAGACAATCTGATTAATTATAGTTCTAACATGGATTGTCTCGTGTTGCAGGTACCGGAGACGGATTCAATGCCCATACCATCTCCAAATGATGTAAAAGATGTTGGCTTGGACCCAATGCCCATTGATGACGAAAGCCCTTCAAGGTGGCCTTCAGAATTCAACAAGCTGCAAAGAGAGATCATTGAACTTTGGGATGCCTGCAATGTGTCATTGGTTCACAGGACTTACTTCTTCCTCCTATTTAAAGGTGACCCAAGTGATTCGATTTACATGGAGGTTGAGGTCAGGAGATTGTCCTTCCTCAAAGACACATTTTCGCGTGGAAATCAGACTCTGGAAGATGGCCAAACTCTAACACCCGCTTCAAGGTAAGTTCGTTATCACCGATCTAGAATAGAAGGTTGCAGACACTCACGATATGTTTTAACTTTGTTACATATTGCCTGCATTGGTCGGCTTAAAACATGTTTTATTCTGTAAATAGCATGAAGGCTTTGACTAGTGAGAGACACATGCTGAGCAAGCAAATGCGAAGGCGACTGTCTGAGGATGAAAGAAATAACCTCTACCTAAAGTGGGGTATCAGTCTACACTCGAAGCATAGGCGGTTGCAATTGGCAAACCTCCTGTGGAGTAACACACAAAACCTGGACCATATCATGGACAGTGCCACAATTGTTGCAAAGTTGGTAGGTTCAGTAGAGCCCGAGCAAGCATTCAAGGAGATGTTTGGTCTCAGGTTTGCACCGCGAGACACTGTCACCAAGCGGAAATCTCACTTTTGGTCAGAAAGTTTCAGGTCTCTTGTGTAAGCTTTTGCAAGATTGATCACCCAGTACAGAAATTTCATCGAGTCCAATTCCATTTGCGTATAGATTATGATTCCGTGTCAAATATCCCATTTGATATTCTCTCTTCAGATTGTATATTTTTATTTTTTGGATCTGCTTTCTGATTGTAATATTTTTGTTTTTGAGTTAAAAAGTTGTGATTGTAAATTTGGTCAAGCTAGAAATGGTGCGTAAGGCTTCCCTAGTTTCTTGTAAAGTAAAGCTCCTTACCGACGCTCAAAAGAAAAGAACACCAAGCTACAATTTTTACCATTCTCAGTCACTACTAATTCTTAATTCTGCCCATCTTATCTCTCTTTTCTCTGTCTATCTAATTTCCTATGACAAAAGAAAAGAAACAACCTGCCTTTATGTAGGTGTTTTCTTCAATATTAGGTTCAATATTGTGGGATGCGAGCAGTTGGTTGATCGGCATGGTATAGCTGATCAAACCAACAGTCGCATCCTACAACATCCCGGAAGATTTGTCACGCATTGAAGTATTTCTGGTCTTACGTCTGACTCAAGTCTTATTAGAAGATAATGAAAATTTAGCTCAACATTTTATGAAAATAGACTACTTGAGATCCTAGAATGTAGCCTAGATGATCTAACCAAAGCCTAATTAGTCATAAGAGATTATATGACATTTGTGTTTACGACAATGCCGCCCGACTAGCGTCTAGCGTCTTTTAGAACCTTAAGAATGATAAAGATCCAACATACTCGTATATTGTGTAAGAGTGTGTAGAGTGTTTCAGTTGGGGTCATATAAGATCTTTGCAACTCCCAACCATATGTGGCGTGCACGCGAGCTTCAGCCTCAGCAACTTCATTTTCTGGTACATCCGGTGCAGCGTAGAATAATTTGTTCAATTTTTCATGGTCGGTAAAATAATGATGCTTGGGCGCCCATTTAAGCGCGGCGAGCACCTTAGCCTGGGCAAGCTCTTCACTCCCAGGGCCCAGGCACATGAATCGCAATGTAACATATAAGAACCAAGGCATGAAGCTGCTCCAGCAATTATTATTGCCTTGGAAACCTCAACGTGAAAATAGTTGCTTGTACATGCAAATTTTGCGAGGGCAATGCAAGATTTTTCGTAACGAAATTGTTTGTTTCATGTAAAAGTCGCAGAAGAGGGTCGACAATCATCCTTGTGTCTGTTGCTTCAAATGTTGTTCCTAAATTCCCAACAGCTTTAATGCACGGGATCAGGAGCTCCGGATCTTCCTTCTCATCGGTGATCTTTATTACTAATTGATCAACGATAGATTTCCGAGCCGGAGAATTACGATACAAGGCAGATGTTCTCAGTTCAGCATCCTCCTCAGCAACCGCAGTGATCTCCATTAATGCTTCGGCAGATTGCAGTTGAACATCTTTGGTACCCTTTTCTAGGTTCACGGCTAAAATTAAGTGGACACTTGATTCTGCGATGCTAGGAACAATGGCTGAGTTCCCCTTGGCTAGTTTGGCAAGGGCTCTGGTCGCCATAGCTTTCATTTCAGCCTTGGTGGCAGGGTCTTCATTGCCGTTGACATTACTATTGGTTTTGCTCGTGGCATGGTTACTATCTACTTCAACAGTTTCGAATGCTAGATGGCTCAAGAGCCAGTAGACTACATCATGCCGTACAAAAACATCACGGCATTTGGGGTGTCTAGCTGCGATCTCTGACACCGCCCAAGCCACGGCAGCCTGAACTTTCATCGGACCTTCTCGGAGGATTTTTGCCCACACTTTGCATGCATCAGCAAGGATCACGTGTTCAACGCTTTCCCAGGCATGTCCAAGTGACCCCAGAGTCCGGACAGCATTCTCTTGGCCTTCGACTGGACCCTCTCCCACGAGGGGTTCAACTCCCCCTTCTTCAATGATGCTATGTTCGCAATCGTGCCGAGAAATCTCACCAAGTGTAGCTGCTGCTTCTGATCGAACTTGGAACGAATTACGCGTGTCAGCAAGGAGAGCAATTTTTTCCCAAATCAGGAACAGAAGTGGCTCACGTGATACATGGTTAAGCTGAGACCAGTCCATGTCCTCACTATTCACAGAACTAAGGGCTGGTTTGGTATTGCTGTGCTTTGAAAAAAAGCTGTTGTGAGAATAAGAGGCTGTGCTGTGAGAATAAGCGGCTGTGAAATAAAGCCAGTAGAGTGTTTGGTAAACTTTTTTGTGAAAGTGCTTTTGGAAAAAAAAGCAGGATGATAGTGTGTCTTTTCAGTAAAGGAGCACTGTAGCTCCGTGTGCTTTGAAAAAACTGGCTTTTTTTCAAAGCAGCAAATAGCAGCTTCAGCTTTTCCTTTGATTTTCAGCTTATTCTCACAGCAGCTTCCAAAATAAGCCTTTTTTTTTCAGTTTACCAAACACAAAAATGACCCTCAGCTTTTTTTCACAGTGACTTTTTTTAAAATCAGGGCCGGAGAGGCGGGAACTGCGGAGTTGGCGGAGAAGCCCCGCCAACTTTTGAGACTTGGATTTGATCTCGAAGATCCACTTCTTCTCTGCCTCACCACTACAAAACCATTTATTAGTGTCGCTATGCAAAATCCGACAGAACATGGATGCAATGACGGATATAATAAGTAACAGAATTGTTAGCATCAGGAAATGAATTTTCCAACAGAAAATATTCTAAAACCGACAGAAATTGTGTCGGATATAACTGATAGAAAATATATTAATAATGAATAAATAAGAGCACTCTCTGTCGGATAAAACCAACAGAAAATACTAAAACCGACAGAACTTGTGTCAGATATAACCGACAGAAAATTTATTAATAATGAATAAATAAAAGCATTCTTGTCGAATAAAACCGAAAGAAAATATATTAATAATAAAAAAAATATAAACCACTTTCAATCATTTCTTTCCCCTCCCATCCATTCACTGCATTTTCCATATTCAACCTATGTTTCCATACTCAACCTATGTTCACCTGAAAGGCTTTCGAAATGACATCGTCGTGAAGGGCAACATGGTTTCGGCAATTGCAGCAGCTGTACAACCTTGGCCCAACCAATTCCGTGATCGAAATCAAGATTACTACGAACGAGAACAGACCCCTTAAAGCCAAAATATACAAAATCAAGACCCTCTCCTTACAGAGCATCTCGCAATCAGCATAACTTCTTAGCATCTTCACGTGTCGTTGGTGTGTTCATCAGGAGCAAAGGAACACTGCATCTGTTCTTAGAACGGAGAGACTGAAAGAAATTGGAGGTGATGTTATGGTATCTGAAGTGCAGATCACAGAATATATTATGCAATTTCTGTTGACAGAACAAAACAGGACAGTGATTACGTGAAGAATCAAACAAACTTCAAAAATCCAACTTCAAAAATCACCACAAGAATCAAACAAAACAGGACAGTGATTACAGTGATTAAGAGCAGTAATGGTGATCAGTTAAGCCAATAATTGCACAAAAACCCAACTTCAAAAATCACCACAAGATCAGAAACAAGGTAAAACTAAAACACAATAATTGGAAATGAATCGTGGCTTAAAAATAAAACCCAGAATTTAAAAAGTGAATGAATTATTTCACCTTGTCCTTTCCCAAAGGCTCTTAGTTGCAAGTGTTGGACTGGAAGTAGATGAGGAGAGAAGAGAAGGAGAAGGAAATGAGGAGAGGAGAAAAGGGGGAAGGAAGGGGGAAGGGAGAAGGCACCGGCGCAAGCAAGAGACAGATGGGTATTATGTTGGAAAATTTGATTGAGGGGCTGAGGAAATCAGGAGCGAGGAGTCGAGGGCCTGGGACCTGGAGGCGAAAGTGAGTTTTGGGGGAAGAAGTGGGAAAATATGAGGTGGGTTTAGGGCGGGAGGAGTGAGAGAGCTTGGAGGTTAGGGTGGGGAAGAATGTAGGTGATGAGATTGAGAGAACGTCCATGGTTGCTTGCTCAGTCGGGAGCTATGATAGCAGGGAAAGAGAATTTGGCGTTTGGATGCTTGTTAGCCAAAATGAGGTCACGTGATAGAAGACGAGCCCATTTGGATCCCTAAATTTTTTTAAAGTATAAACCGACAGAAAAAAAATGGTGGCAAAAATCCCCCAAAATCTTAAATTCCCCCCCCCCCCCCCCATTTTGTTACGATTTTAAAAAATAAAATAATAATTGTTTAATTTAATAAATAAATAAATAAACTGTATTTATATAGAATACGTTTTTAAAAATTAAATAAATAATTGTTTGGTTTAATAGATAATAATCCATGTAAAATATGCAACAAAGAAACAAAAAGATAATTGTACAATGAAAATGTCATCACACAAACTAAATATTGTCTAATCAATACTTATAAACATAAATAAAAATTTAGCACAAACTGCTTTTCCTACTTCAAAATTTAGGCAAATTTAACGGAGATATGCATTCTACGAAACTAGTTTCAATGATCTAACTATCAAACTTGTTTGTAGATACTAAAAGATTGCATACGTAAAAAATTGAAGAAAAAAAAAACATTCAGAGATTAGGCAACAGAACAAAAGTTTTTTACGGTTATAAATGAAAAATCACAATTTAACGGTTATTTTAGCTCCGGTTTTGATGATTTTTTTATAGCTACACTCCTCTACCCTATAAGAATGCAATGAACGAATTTGATGTTCAATTTAAAATATTTACACTAGTGGATACTACAAACTCTTATTTTATACTTAATGGAAGTATAATATTAACTCTAAGTGTTTGTTTAATCTACCATTTTAACGCGATATGCATTCTACGAAACTTTTTTCAACGATCAAACCGTCAAACTTATTTGTACACACTCCAAGATTGGATACGTAAAAACTCGTAATAAATAAACATTCAGAGATTAGGTAACAAAACAAAAGTTTTCGACGGTTATAAACGAAAAATCACAATTTAACGGTTATTTTAGCTCCGATTTTAATGATTTTTTACAGCTACACTCCTCGACCCTATAAGAATGCAATGAATAAATTTGATTTCAATTTAAAATATTTACACTAATGGATACCACAAAATCTTATTTTATACTTAAATGAAGTATAACATTAATTCTTAAGTGTTTATTTAATCTACCGTTTTGATGCCATACACATTCTACTAAACTTTTTTCAATGATCTAACCGTCAAACTTATTTGTACACACTCCGATATCGCATACGTAAAAGATCACAAAAAACAAACATTCAGATATTAGGTAACAGAACAAAAGTTTTCGACAATTATAAACAAAAAATCACAATTTAACGGTTACTTTAGCTCCGATTTTGATGATTTTTTACAACTACACTCCTCGTCTCTATAAGAATGCATTGAATGA